AATCATGGCAAATTAAAAAGAAAAAAGAAAATTTACAATATTTGAAAAAGCTATGCCATTGATTTTAAAACATATTCCTAATCCTTTGTACAATATCTGAAAATATATTCCTTTCACCTTGTCCTCTTATATCTTTAATTCGTTCTTCATACTTCATCATTAGGACTTTTATTTTCTTCTCTTTTTCTTCCTGTGATATTTTTCCCTGATCACATTCCTTTTCTGTTAGTTTAATTTCCTTATACAATTGCTCAGCATAGATTTTCTTCAAGGCTTCTGCCTGCCGTTTCAGCTTTTCATCTGTGTCCTTGTATATGTCATCAGAAAAGTGAGCCCCTCCGTTCTTCCTCACCATTTCCTCTATCAGCTCCACCAGCTCCTGCAATTGAGCTTCCTTCTCAGCCTCATCTGCATTCTGCTTGTTATTGAAGGCACAGCAGCGGGTCCCACACTCCTTGATGATGTTTTGCAGGTTTACGTCTGATGCTGCTATAAACTCCGGCAGTGTCTTACCATCCAAATCATCTTTGCGAGTGAACAAGATGATCATGTGCTTCATGGCCGCCACCCCAAAGATGGCCTTGATCAATGCCACTGTACTCTGCTCCTCCTTTGTGTAACGGCCCAGCTGTAGTACCAGGATGATGGCGTGAGGACCAGGGCAGGAGAGGAGGACACACCTGCTGATTTCCTCACAGGTGGTCTGCAGTTTCTCCTTGATGTCAAAGAGCCCTGGGGTGTCCACAACAAGAAGGTTCCTCCCCTCCCATTGTCGCTCTGCTTTCTGACATTTCTTGGTAACAGCGTCAGGAGCAATTTTAGATTCAAATTCTCTTCTCCCAAGGATGGTGTTTGCTGTTGCACTTTTTCCACTTCCACATTTCCCCAGCAGAACAATCCTCAGAGTGTTGTCCTGAAGGCCAGTCATCTTCTTTCAAGAGGCTCTGAGGTGCAGGTACCAACAAGACCTTAAGGAAAAGAATGAGGAGAAAGGGTACTTATGTAAGTGGGGACCCAAATGTCTTTTCTTCATTCTTGTCCTTGCAATTTGTAATTTTCTACTATTCATATGGAAGAAATAATAAAGCCTAGTTTTTCCACAAAGGAGTACAGGGTGCAGGTGCTTCTGCAGGAGAACTCACTTATATATCTACAAAAATGATCATCTCAATGTTATGTGAGCTATTCCTGATAATACAAAAGAGGGAAACCTTTCCATTCTTTCTATGAATCAAGTGTGATATTGATGCTACAGGCTAACAGAGATTTGACCAATAAATAAAGTTACAGACATGACTCATTTGGAAATATCCATACCAAAATTAGTTGTTTCAACAAATCTTATTAGTAGACTAGAGGCCTGGTGCATAAAATTCATGCAGGGTAGGGTCTGTAGGCCTAGCCTCCTTGCCTCTCCACTTCCTTCCCTCACTCCCTCATTGCCCTGCAGCTGTTGATGGTTGCCGGCCATGTTCTGTGCCTCTCCTTGGTGGTCAGCACACATGATAGGAAGCAATGGAACTCCTGCTCTCCCAGTAGAACTCCAGACTGTACAATTTGCATATTAACCTTTTATATATATACTAGAGGCCCGATGAACAAAAATTTGTGCACTCGGGAGGGAGAGGGGAGTCTCTCAGCCCGGCCTGTGCCCTCTCACAGTCTGGACCCCTTGGGGGATGATGACCTGCTGGCTTAGGCCTGCTCCCCAGGGGATTGGGCCTAAGATGGCAATCAGACATCACTCTGGCAGCCCAGCAGCCCTCGGGGGATGTCCACTTGCCAGTAGGGAGCAGACCTAAGCTGCAGTCGGACATCCTTAGCGCTGCTGAGGAGGCAGGAGAGGCTCCCACCACCACTGCTGTACTGGCAGCCATCAGCCTGGCTTGTGTCTTAGCAGAGCTCCCCCATGTGGGAGCACACTGACCACCAGAGGGCAGCTCCTGCATTGAGCGTCTGCCCCCTGGTGGTCAGTGTGTGTCATAGTGACCAGTCATTCCCAGTCTTTCTGCTGTTAGGGTCAGTTTGCATATTACCCTTTTACTATATAGGATAGAGGCCTGGTGCATGGGTAGGGGCCGGCTGGTTTGCCCTGAATGGTGTCCCG